CTCCAGAAATCAATATCTCAACTGGCGATATATTCATCTAGTTCTGTCTATTCCTCTTTAAGTTCTGTTTTTAAGAGTGAACGCTTAATGGCCAGAGGTAAGATTACGTCTACACGTATCAACAGTTCTTGTGAACACTCTATCAGACAACGGGGTCATGTATTATCAGTAGTATCTTACCTACCTATGTCAATGATTCTTCGCGCATTGACAACCTTCTCAATGAACCAACTACTCGTTCAGACCAATTCTACCATATTTCCTTTTTTATACCTTCCCAGTGTCGCCCACACTCGCTTTGAAATGAATCAATTTTAAAAACAACTTTAACAACGTGCCTCAATTTTCTAAATCCATACAAGGTCAGACCTGATTGGTTTCAAGCTAGAGCGTTCTTATGTTTGCCTTATTGTAAACGTGTAAATGAATATCAACGTAGGCGATCCACAGCTTTAAATGGTACTTGCTGAATTATCCCATACGGAATCAAACAATTAGGAAAATTCAAAGAAATTCTTTGGATAACATAAACTGCAAATTACATTCGTCATTTTTTTCCAAATGCCTGTTTAGGAGTTAAAGTGAAGTTTCACTGGCCTAACCATTGAACTATTTTTTTCACCATGTCTCTATGCGATGTTTAATTTACTTACATTAAAGTGTCAACATACATTACAAATCAAACGGAGATCAAGATCAATCACAACGGGAATCGAGAAGACACCGAAACAAAAGGGAAGGCAGTACAAACCCCCAAAACAGATAAACTGGTGCAAAAATAAGTGCATATGTTATCAGTGTTTCAGTTATTATTGAGGTCATTTACCGAAATTTACAGCTTATGTGAAGTCTGAATGTACCTTTTAACAGACACCCTTTCAATTGTTTAATGTACTGTCCAAACATACGTAAAAATACGCATATCAAAGCGATAATAGCTGTTAGCAGGTTGTCGCCAAATCACTTTAAGTGGACAGTTAACAGTCCTGGTCAAGTTCAGGTTCCGGTCAGTATATATACGACCGTTATAAAGTAGTCAGCGACACACGTCAGTCAAGTGAGTGGACAGGACATCGTCAATATTTGGACTCCATGTAGTAGTTTATGGTGGGGTCTTATTGTAAAAAAATTAATTGCAGGTTTGTGGACTCGTGGTAGGGCCAGATGTCCCACCAAGTGTTTGGGTCGAGTAGTCTATACTTTTAGATAGAGGTAGGATTTCTACTTAAGTATCTCCGTTCACTGAACAAACTGTATCATAACGTCGGGTTTCAATATAGAAAGTGATGGTACGGAACGTGCAAATTCATCACTTTAAGGGATATCATGATACCCGGGTCTCCATTGTATACATAACTATACACCAATCCACACTATGTAAATGACTGTTTAATAGTATTGCTTTTTAATGGGTTATCATCGGCAATCTATGTTATCACATATTAAACGTTTTTCACTTCGCTGTTAAAATTAAATGTTAGCTTATTACATCATTTTATGAACGGTTTGAAAAGAACCTAACAGGTTATATACAAATTATGATGGAATTTATTTACGAACTTACAGTAATAGAACAATTGTATCAGGTTGATTTGTGGTAGATACGTTATTATACGTTAGCAATATTGACCACGGTCTGCATTTTTAGTTAAAACAGTAAAACACAGGTTGATCAAACCTCGTATTGAACTCATCAACATGTTATAATTATGTAGCACATTTCTGTGTTAATCACTGAGCCTCAATTGCAATCATGTCCTAAACCAGACAAGATTATTCAGCCCGGTTGTTCAAAGTATATTAACACCAAGCAAGGACAAGTTAACAGAAATCCTTTAAAGGATTTTTTAATCATAATTAATAACTAAAAAAATACTTGTTAGAGATCGAAATAATTATATAAAGACAAAAATATTTTAAATAATTCTCAAGTATAACATTAGAACATTAGTGTTTACGATTTATTACGAGAGCAAATATGCCATTACAGTGTCGTACCGTTGGGAGTTGGTAATATGTATTCACAGTTTCTACAACCGAGTTAGTTGTGGTCCTCATGTGTACACATCCCAATGTTAGCAGATGGTTAATAATAGAATATTATCCGTTTCCTTCTCGCGCATAGTAATACCTGTATTTGGTTAACATGGGACACTAAACATGATTTCTACTAACTCTAATTAGGTTAGTCGCGAGTGTGTGGTTCGACCTAACCTTCACCTCAGTAGCTAATTTTAAGGGACAATCTTTGCTTCGGGATCTTATGAAAGACTTCTATTGACTAACTAATTTTCCTACCAATTAAAAAAACATTGTAATCTTATTTTTTCATTTTGGATTATTTTTTTGTGTACTATAAATATTAAGTTTTACTGTTGTGACGAAACATCACTGTGATTACATAAAGTACACTATATAATAAACTAACCATGCTTTATCTTACATATATGAAGAAAAGTAATTCAGAACCTTTAAACTACTTTAATGTTAATCTTGTGGTAACCTTGGTCCACTTTTTGAAGGTATAATAGAAAAGAGACAAATATTGACATTCGATGCCTTGTCAGGAGTGAAGGGGATATATATATATATATGCTCAAAATATTAGCACAGCAACTGACACTACCGATCCTCATGTACAAACGTGAATGATGTTACACCACCGTGGGTAATATTTAGTTTGTTACTGTGGTCACGACTAACTTAACAGGTTATATGTCGTTTCCATGGACTATCCCATCTGGGTCCGTACATATTCTAAATACTCAATGGTAATTGATTACATTATATATCATCAGAACATGTAATTGTGTGTTAATTTTAAAAAGACACATACCATTGGTGTAAAAAAATGACAAATTTGTACATTAGTGGTGCTATATTTAGTGACAGACTCATTAAACAGAATTTGTCATGCATGCGGTCCTATTTTAGTAATATTTGAAGCAGGCTAACTATTTCAATGACATTTTTTGTTTGTTTGTTTGTTTATGTTTAACGGCCCATCGACGGCTGTGGTCATTTAGGGTCATGGTGATTTATTTATTTATTTATCTTATTTTAACAAACATGTGAATCGCGAAGATAAAATCAGATAAAAATGGTTCATTTTTAAAAGTATTCGCATTGTATGTGTAGATAATAAAAATAATAATAAAAGGGGGTTAAAATAATAAAAGAGATAACGAATAGATTATATGGAATATGCGGTATATATATAACGTCAAAAATGATAAGGTTGGCTAAAAGACATCAGAGTCTATAAAATAGACCGATATCTTTCAAATAGTTAAATAATGCCTTCGAATCCACGGAACTGAAAAGTGTTTTCATATCCGGGACTCGGAAGTAGTTATCACGAATGTGTTTAAAATCGGAACATTCTATTAAAAAATGCTCCACTGTAAATGGAGTGTCACATGCGTGGCATGAAGGTATATCTTCTCGTTTTAAAAGGTACGAATGAGTAGGATATGTGTGCCCAGTGCGGAGCCGAGCGAGGACAACTTCCTCTCTACGATCTTTCCGACTGGGAATAGATGTTTTAAGTTTCGGTTGTATCTTAAAAAGTTTGTTGATGGTCTCCAGAGACCAGCGTTTCTGCCATTCATTTTGAATGGCTGTACGAATAGTAGGTTTAAAATCTGTGTATGGTAGTTTGATATTTGTTTGTTCGAGATTCAATGCATTTTTTGCTTCCCTGTCAGCAAATTCGTTGCCTTTTATTCCGACATGGCTCGGACTCCATAGTAAAGTTAATTCAGACTTTTTTAATACACGAGATATTCGAAGAGAAAGGTTTTGTACGATTGTGTTTTTAGGATCTCGTAACTGTAAACTCTGTAGGACAGATAGAGAGTCTGAACAAATAATTGCCTTTTTAATGCGGTGTTCATCGATATGGTCAAGGGCCAAACTAATGGCGCATGCTTCAGCAGAAAAGATGGAGGCGCCATTTGGTAGTCGGACTGAAGTGCAAGTATTGCCAGTACAGCAGGCTGCTGCCACTTTCTCACCTTCTTTGGAGCCATCGGTGTAAAGTTGTGTATGAGAAGGGTAATTTGAAATGCATTCCCGAAAGGAGGATTTGTGTTCTTCGGGCATAACACTTGATTTCCCTCGCTCATGTAATGTAAAGTTAAATTCAGGGGTTTGAATGGTCCACGGTGGAACATCAGATATGTTAAATTCAGCTGTGTCCGTCAATTTTATGTTGAGTTCTTGCAGGAAATTCAAAATTCGGATACCAAATGTTGGCAGAAGTGACATAACCATCATTAAGTTAAGTTATTATTTACTATCAACAAAGTATAACAGTGGCGGAACCAGAAAATATTAGTTGAGAAAGGCGGGATGAAAGTTTATGAGAAATTAGTTTATACCTAGGCAATCGTTTATAATTGTAATCAGTGAAGGAAACATTTTGGCACCATATGACTATTTATTGTAGACTTCCGGTGTTGTTTATTTTTTGTCACTGAATGATGAAATCATGAAAGTTTCCCTTTTTTATATCTCCTGTTCAAAAATAATTTACCGGCTTTCGAAATGAAAACGCAAACTAACAAACCACTGTAACTTTACAGGTAGGGGTTTCTATCAATACAAATATTTTACTTTAAGCAATTAAAATGTTTATCCGGGTTCAAGATGGCAACAATCTGAAATAGCACCCACAATAATTATAAGTAACTGTAAAAATGAAGTTTATGAGTGGAAAGTGAGTCATTCTGTCAGGTTATCCGTAATTGAACATCGAGATATTCGTTATGTGTTGATATTTATTAACATTTTCTGAAGTTATGTTCAAATACATGTATCTACCTACGGTGAAATGATGGGACGAAAATTGACCCCCACTGCCCTGATATGGGATCGCTCACGGGGAAACTGTGGTAAGGACACCAATGACAACACAACTCGTAATAAGATAGTACAATGTGAACACACTCCACTTGCACGTATGTAAGAACAAAAAAAACCCCCGAATATACACTTACTTCTTTCATGGCTTTTTTGCTTTTCTTTCTTCTGTCTGTGATCAGTGGCTAAGGAGAAAAACATAATTTTGCAATAATATTTGTATTATTCGTCATGTAGATAACTAAAGAACTTGTTTTGTGAAATTATCCTATGCTATTTCCCCTATTCGATTCAGAAGTGTGCTGATTGGAAATAAATCAAAGTTCACACCTATACCATTACGCTTTGCTTTGTAAATTGTACAGAAAATTAAGGTTGCTTACCCCTATTCTTCTCGTACATTGTCAGTTATATTTACGATCTGAATACATGAGGGGATTTCTAACTCGTGCAAAATATTTGCTGGAATGAAAATCACGATAAATCAAAGTCAGTAAGCTGTGTAACACGACAAATTAACCATGCAATAAGTAAACAGGAACACCTTACAAGTGTGACACACCTGAATCAGAATATAAAAGACAATGAGGTACTGGTACATTGTATGTCTCTTCTTATTCTTAGGAACATTCTTAGGAAATACCTCAATGCTTGTATGATGACGTTCTTAGCATTTAACATCTTGAATCGATTTCATTTTGAATGTATATCCACATTTCACACTGGACAAATCAGTATGCAGATATTGATTATCTGATTTATTCTAATATATTTAATGCAAAAACAATTTCGTATACATTGATTTTTTCGTAATTGATTGTTTTTTTTTATATATAAGTTTAGATCATTTTGAAATATATTATCAAGAACAAAGTAATGGACGTAAGTGCAACAATGTGACATCTATATTATGATTAGCAAGTTATATTTAAATTATTAGAACAATAATGCCATATATACGAAATGACTAAAATGATGATCTTACTTTAGGTACAAAATATATTACATATACATCTCTTCAAATTATCAAATAGCTTGTGCATAGGGTTTATTAATATATTTTCACACATATTAGTTCACGTTTCAGCGACGTAATTTTGTATTATATACTGATATGTATTAAGTACCAAATACCATTAAAAACCTAATATAAGATACCAAACGATTCAATGGTACGTACCATTACACATCAGTTATATAGAACTATGATTAGCAATGAGCAATGGACACCTAATCAAAAGGTGCCCAGCACTACGTATAGGTGTTGGGTATATATGGAATCGGAGAAGCACACATGGATAACCATGGTTAGAATCAAAGGATTTCTCTGTCTTCACCATTAGCTGGCCTTCTAGACAACGATAGCATTACTAATAAACCGATGGTTACAGAGATATCAAAGGATCTCCTCAATATAAACCGTATTGAACACATGTCTACAGTTGATATGTCGGATTAGTGGGTAGTAAAGACCTATCGATTAGCTAATTACAGTGTAGTAGTGACTTCTATAAAATACTAATTAGTCCAATGTTCTAGACATGTCAAACCACATCAAATCAACATAAATGCCATAGTCAATCAATACAAAATTATTTTTTGCTATTAACTAATTTCCGTTAAATTCTCTAAGCGTACAAATTCACGCAGTATACATTCTAGCGATATCGTTAGTTCCTCTTTGCGCTAACCTGTTAATTCTAGGTAAAACGCTGATATTTAAGTCCGCAAAAAAAAAAAAAACTTTTAAAAAATATTGACTATAAATTTTCGTTGTCTAAAGATATAGCAAACGTCCTCCTCCAAATATTAGAAATATTTCCATGAAATGTTCACGGAGCATGACACACTAAGCATGACGACTCCATAGAGGCTAAAACAAATAAGACCGTATTGATTTAGGACAATTGTGAATAAAATGAAACCAAATGTTACTCTGGATAAACCATTATATGGATCAAATTCTACATTACTTGTCGACATATAAAAAACATAAGTAGAATGAATGAAAACACTTCACCAACATACAATTCGATATATGCATATCACAGTAGCTGTGTCTCCTACACTCCAATCTATGAGAAATATTCCTTTATCTGAATCGGCAGAAAACTGTATTAGGAATATGTAGTTCGTATTCAAATCGACCAACAAAATGTATAACACAATAGGGAAAACTGTATGGAAGCATATATCACCACAAAATAGATGTGCAAGAAGTGTGTTTCATCATTCGTCGCTTTGGAGGAATATCGCGCAAAATCAGACAAACGACTGACGATGTTACTGCAATTTGCTTCGAAAGGCTTATCAATTTGATAAAGTAAATAAACAATCAACTATTAGTCGCTCAGTTATTAAATTAAAATAAAGTTGATTAATTAATTAGAAATTAATTATCAAACTTTTTGAAAATAAAACATGGTGTAAACCTCTTCAATCTATACCATTCGATTTTTTATAGTTAGAAGTGGTGACAAAAAGAACATTAAATTTTGCTGATAAAACGAGGAATCACGTGTCTTTCGAATAGCAACAATCAAACAAGAACTTTTTTCCGTAGATATTCGATTCAGGAGTGAAGTAAAAAAGGCAAAGATCGCGTTACATTATAAATGTAGATTGTGGGTTCTGAACATCTGATGATTCATTCTATTGCTGTCATCAATTTGTTGCTGTTCGAATCGTTTTGGAACAATTTATGTCAACAAAAGATAAAAAAAAAAGAGCGTGTATAATCATATGACAATATTGGTATTGACGACCTCCACGGATGTTCTTAACTGATCACAAACTTGGCGACACAAAGACCACGGTGTATGAGCATTGTTTGCGATGAAATACTGGAATGCAGTGATTGTTAATCGATTATACAAACAAATTAACACATTCAAAGCTATATGTATACACAATAACGTTGGGTTCACACCTTATTTCTGAATAACACTCAACGTGAAACATTCATATTATGCACTTAAATGTCAATGTTTCTTCTATATTTACGTAAATTTTGTATTTTGTTTATAAATTGTTTCCAATATAACACGGAAATGACCATCCTTCCATGTTATTATTATACAATGCATCTGTCGATTAATACTGAAGTTCATAGATGATTTCTATTTAGCATATCTCCAAAACACCATTTTATGTTTATAATATATCCCATTGTTTCTTTTTAATGCTTATGATATATCTCATAACCGTTATGTTTCATGTCTTAAGTATTACCCTTTAACATATGTATGTCTATGATATATCCAATACACAAACAATTGTTTTATGTATATGTTATTATAGTCCATAATAAAGCCAATAAACAATAGTGTTATATGTATATTAATGACATCCCAAAACTCTATTTTCGTCTGTATTATATCCCATTATCATAAATATGATACCCCTAAAACATTTATATCCCACAAACACTATTTCAATGTGCTATATATCCTATCAACACTAACCTTATATATATAATACATTGTATATCCAAAACACAGTATGTTAATGGGTAATATATCCCATCAACACTTTCATTGCATTTTAAAACCCACAAACACTATTTTGATGTGTAATATACTGTATCCACACATTTTTCTGTGTTTAAATAGAATATTATGAAATATATTGTTTGTCCCATAAACACTACGTTCAGTCTAAACACTAGTTTTATATGTATGATCAACATATAACCACATTTTATGTCTAAATTAAATCCCAAAAATACTTTTATTATATTCATAAAATATTCACGAATCCCTATTTGGTGTCTACCATATAACCTTGAAACAACATAATATCATAATAAGTCACGATATGACCAGTTCAGCAGTCAGTATTTATATTCAAATGCTGTTTAATTTATCAGAAGTAAACTATAGGACGATCTATAGGAAACTTAACTTAAATCTAACATCATATACTGTATCAACAACTGTGTTTATATGTTGACCCACTTTAGTGAAATTTACTATTTTTATTAGTATTTAAAATACTCTACGTTTTAGCATATATAATGTGAGTTGCACACAGCTTGGTTAAAATCAAACAACATTGCGTTATAGCACAGGTGTACTGAAAGTCCAATAAAACAGTAAGTTATCGATAAGTCAACGAACATGCCAGCTAGCTTACTTCAACCTCCGCATTTTCCTTCTGTTCCTCTTCCTCCTCCTCGTCATGTTCCTGAATACGCTTTGCTTTACTCTTTTTACGTTTATCTCTTGGTTTACCTAGTGGCTGGAGCTGTAGGGCCCGACCTTGACCAGTGGCGATCTGCTGGGCGAAATCCTGTTTAGTCACAGGAAATTTTGAATTTGGACGTTGCATATTGTTCTTTTATATTAAACGAACATATTTCTAGAGGATGTTTGTAACAATAACGTTACATTCCCAAAAGTGTGACTGTGTCATTTTCTCTCCCTAATGCACAGCCATCATTATCCAATCAGAAAATAGTCTTTACGTACACAGTGGTTCAATTATGGTTATATGTAAACACAGCACATCCGAGGTAAATTACTAACTTAAACATCTTGCATTTGGTTTTGGAAACAACAAGGCGAACATTACATCCATACAACTTCCCGATGTTTGCACTTCATAGGATCAGTACAGAACTCGCACCTTGTACGGTTAATATTTAAAATGTTTCCATTAAGACTAAGGTTTAAATGTCTATAAAACTACGTTTACATATTCTGTATAAACATCCACGAAAATCCGGAACAATCAACATCCTTGAATATCTCGTTGTTTGACACTAAGGAAAAAAGACGTCTGTCCGAGTTGTGGCCTGCTTAACACGAATACCCTTTAACACTGTTCAGTGTGTATTCTATGGTGGTATACAATATACGCACGACGACATTGAACTGATATTTTGTATAGCTAAACTTGGCAATAAGTAACAATAGACCAGTGGCTTCAATGCACGCCTTCCTATCCTACCTCATCTTTAATAGTATTCCACGGGGCCAGGTTAAGGGGTACACGTACCCTATTCAAATCCAACACCACTAAATTCTCATTATAATTGAGTAATCTTGATCCGAAAGTGTGCTCATCCATTACCATTTAAAGTCCCAAAATAATAAATATGATATTGATAGGATTTATGAGTTAAAGAAAATGAATAAATTATTCAAACCGCGGGCTCGTTTCTTTGTGTAGACAGTAAGATTTTATGAGTGAGAGGTTGAATCGCTGTTAATGTAGGTTCGCTGCAATAGATTAACACGAATGTACCATCATAAACGTATAATATATATTTAAATTGATTGATTACGGTCCTAACACATAAATATGTCATCGTTATCGATATGTGATGCCGATTTGATTTCATACTAAAGTTAACAGCCTTTTCGGTGCACTTCCAAAGACAGGAACCCCTAAAGAATACCTTTCTAGTTTCCAATTCAGGCTTTCCTAAGTGTATTATATGGAACTCATTATACTAGCTGTTATTAATACAAACAGACTACGCGGTGTCATTGGAATGCTACCATTAAATAATCGTTTAGCTATGATTACTTTACTAAATGTATGGATATCGTATGAAGCGTCGTCTGAGTAATATGAACAAGATCATAATACCGTTTACAAAATGTACTTTGGAGGGTAAACAACATAGACAAAGGTCTGTTATAGGTTAAACGTCAAAATATCCCTAGCAGCTTAAATGATTATAAACAGACTTTAAAGCGTTTTATATTGATTCGGAATAAAGAAAGCAGCCATTGTGTTCGCTAAGATGTGTAAATGGTTTATCATTAATTGAATATTACGGAACATTGTAAAGTTAGGTAACGCTTGGCTAACGCTTAAGAAACCATCACTTTGCATATGGAATGAAATATGATAAATGATTAATCGTGACTTTCAGTGATTAATGATATATCTATAAACCATATATATATTTCCATTACAACGAAAACGAAAATCACCCTGAGTGATATTTGGTTGTATTGTCTAGATTAAAAATTGCCATCTGTAAATTCAAACTACCATAGAAATCATAAAACATGGTAAGCATAGTCAATACATATATGTTTTGCATTTGTAAAATAAAAAATATGTTTCGATGATATTTTTTGTCTTCATAACCGTTGTTAATTAAACGTACAAAACAATGCCTATAAACTGAAGTTAGTTTTGACGGTATAGGTTACATAAATCCTTCGCAGGGCCTCCGTAAATGTATACTCAGTGATCACATCTTCGGCAGGGCAATGCACCACGAGGCTTTGGTTATGTCTTATCTGGCTTACAGTGTAAAGTAATTTACCCTTATATATGTAGATATATAGATTTAAATATAAGTCACGTGAGCATCTGGATCTTGAGTTGGACCAATACAGGAATTCACCCTCATAATTACACACTGACTGGTTAGATTGATACAGACAACATAGACGACATTTATTGTTTTTCTGCTCAGTTTTTAGAAAAAAATTAAATTAAAAACATTTTTTATGTTCAAAACTATATGACCAATGAAAAATAAATATATCATATGTAACATTTTAAGAGCGTCTAGGATTTTCCCTTTACATCGTAAAGCTGTACAATATTTGACGTGTATAGGGGTCCTCAGTGCGTTTGATAGCACCTCCAAACAAAGGCCAAATCTGTGCTGCCGTTTGATTAGCAAGCCGAAAGAATGCTGACTTGAAACTAACGTCTTTATGTGTATCAACACAGTAATGTCGTCGATCGACAATAGATAGAGGTTAATAATAGATCCCGTTATTGTTTCAATTTGACCATACCGAACATTTTTACACGAAGGTCAACCCGCAATTATGTTGGCTTCTCTGTGATATATATTACGGAGCTATGGTACCGTAGTATACGTTACGTCAAATGTATATTGTTCTTGGTCATTTTTCATTGTTGCCTTACCTAATTAAACCGAATGACCGGACAGGAGGTAGTACAGACCCCTTATTAGAGGTTAGTGTAGAAATCCTGTAACCCACTTATGAAAAATTGAACGAAATCATTCAATGTTTCCCTAAATTGTATAGTATCTACTTTCGGAATTTTAATGATTATTATTATTATTTTCATTGATAAGCCTCTAATTTTGTTACACAGAAATAATTTTTAAATCGTTTAATTTTTTCACATAAATTCATGTGTTAATAAAAGATAACTGTTTAAGAAAATTTAACAATATGTTTTTTCACAGCTTACAACTAACAGACTACCTCTCTATTAACCTAGCTAGAACATGCTTGACAATATAAGTTATATCCTGTTATTACAGGATATACCATCTTTCTATTTCGTTACTAAACACTGGCACCATATCATAAATTGTATTTACTTTTATTTTCTGAATGATATCTTGTACATCCACCAGACATTAAATTAGTGGTAACACCATGGACCTTGGACACCTGCACGAGAACTTTGGAAAGCATTGTCCACTAGGCCTCTCAGTGTCTCCGCCTCATACATAAAATACAAGCTCGAAGGTTGGTAGGTATCAATTATGTATGATGTGTTGTAATGCCAATCTGTTTTCATGACAGTGCTGTGTTTACTATTCCATTGTTGTTCGATACAAGCTGTACATTGATATCTCACCAAGCTATGGTAGTCATATTGATTTTTACCTAAATAAGCGTTATTCGGATGTTTGCACTTTGATTTCCAGTCCAACAAGGAGCGTATTATTACAAATATAAAGGTGTACCGATGCATGTTTGTTGAAACAATGGAGCTCGTAAGGATTTATATAGAAATAGATCTAATAATATCTCCAAAATATTGATTTCATCAAATAACATATATCGGTTGAAGCCGGAAGAGCAACTTATTTCATTGATAATGATACAGTAAGATCATTAAGATAATTTAACATATAAAATTATAAGATATATATATATTTATATAATAGTTTGAAGACAATATACTTTTGGTTCAATTAATTACATTGACTTGCACTGATACTAAAAGGATTACTATCGCTACCAAAATACAACATATACAAATGTACATGTTTATCAAACATGAGTTTACGCATACTCTGTTGTTCCTAAATCGATGGCGTACATGAGTGTGATACGACACACGAAACAATGATATCATCTATCCAAGTTATTGCCAATAATTAAATGTTCCCTAGCGACACTGAAATGCCCAGATTTAACACGAAAAGAACTCAATATACGTCCAGTGTAATACATAATGCGTTAAGTAGACATCACAAACCAAAGTTAAAATTTCCGTCGTATAAATAGTAGTGATATGTTTTGAAGGCAACGGTAACTGTATATCATCTGAGAAGGGGCACGGTTCTTAAATATACACAGTTTACTCATAAATAAATTGGAAATAACAAGTTCTCCTCTAAACATTAGTTCAAACCAATTCTGATTTCCAACTTTTCGGAGTCGAGCATCATCGATGGGTCCTAGAAGGATGGGCGAAACTGCTGTATGGTGGGATGCAACTGCTATATTGTGGGACGAAACTGCTGTATGGTGGGATGCAACTGCTGTTTTGTGGGACGAAACTGTTGTATGGTGGGACGCAACTGCTATATTGTGGGACGAAACTGTTGTATGGTGGGACGCAACTGCTATATTGTGGGACGAAATTGATGTATGGTGGGACGCAACTGCTATATTGTGGGACGAAACTGCTGTATGATGGGACGCAACTGCTATATTGTGGGACGAAACTGCTGTATGGTATGACTAAACTGCTGTATAGTGGGACGAAACTGCTGTATAGTGGGACGAAACTGCTGTATGGTGGGACGAAACTGCTGTACAGTGGGACGAAACTGCTGTATAGTGGGACGAAACTGCTGTATAGTGGGACGATACCGCTGTATAGTGGGACGAAACTGCTGTATAGTGGGACGAAACGGCTGTATGGTGCAGGGAATTCATTGTTGGCATGCTGTTTCTATTACTTTTAAAGGTGCAGTCCCATGTGCGTGTCTTGGGTTCACATTTAGAGAGAGAAATGATACTTTGCATGTATCGTGTATTGGTGATTCAAAATATTTTTCTTGGATATTCATTATCTGACATTTTATTTTGCATTAGTTATTTGTTATCTGTGTAATATGCTCACATTGTTCGATGATAAAACAGTGCCACTTAATCACAGAATGACACACTTTGTATCAAACAATCAAACGTCTGAATGGCCAGGACTTAATGCTCCTGTCACATACTGGTATTGTCATTGTGCCAAACAGATAGGTGTAGCCTCATGATATACGATGACGTCGATTTTACGAAAACCTACAAAATATTTGATCTGGCTGT